GAGAGAGAGAGAGAGAGGTGTGTTGCTCCTCAGTCAGACTCCTGTTTCCTCCTCAATGTGTAAACTCGGCTGAACTCGGCTGAACTCGGCAGAGCCTCCTGTCTCATGAACAGGCTGAAGAGAAGCTGTCAGACGGTTTATTAAGGTCGTATCAGGATCGCTGAGATACTTAAACACCGGCTCTCGTGTGAATGTGTTTGTGTCACTTTTGCATAACCTCGCTGGGGCTGCCCCCCCCCTCAGTGTGTGTATACGTACAGTATAAATATATATATATATATATATAGAAACGGTTCATGTGATGTGTGTGACGTTATATTTTCTGTTCACACTGACGTCGGATCTGTTGAGGACAATAAAACCGTCTCTGTGTCAAAACCTGTTTCCTTTCTCAAACGGCAACCCACAATGCACTGGTGTTATAATACAACCTTATGTTGGTAAATGAAGTTACTCAGTTGGTTGCAATCTGCAGCTTCACCACTAGGTGGCGTTAAAGCACATCTACAGACTGGTCCTTCAGGTTAGAGTCACTTACGTCTGCCACCAGGCAACTGAGGGCTTTTACTCTTTAAGGCAACGGTTCCCAACCTGAGGGTCAGGACCCCCACTACGGCTCACCAAAAGCTTGACAGTGGTCTTCTTGATTTTAAGAGGTGTAAGAAAACTTTAACAATATAAAAAGTAGGTCTAAGAAAACACTGAATTTGTCAAAAAATAAACGTATTAAGTCTGTAAGATTGTTAAAAATGAACAAAATACATAATAGAGAGAAAACTATAAAATAATTGCTTGATTTTAAGTGAAAACTTAAAAAATATACACAGATTCACTTCTGTGGGGAAATGTAAATAAATTGTCTAATAGAACAATGGCCAAGCTTCAAGGAGACATTTATATTAAGTCTGATTGTTAAAAATAACAATAAATATTACAGACAGATAATTGTATAAAAAGTCGAGTCTGGCTCGAACGATAAGTGACAAAAACCCAACAAAGTTCCATTAAGGACCCTCTGCAGTACTCCTAAGGACCCCTATGGGTCCACGTACCCCCATTTGAGAAACACTGAGATAAACAAAGAGCTGAAACTCATAATAAAGCTCCATAAAGCTGATCGAGCTGCAGATTCAGGTGATAATTCTCTGCAGGTTGATCTCAATGAACGACTCCTTTCAGATTGTTTCATACATTATAAAATTACTGACAGACGCTTTGAGTGCTGAACTTTAACTTGAAGTATATTTATTGCATATTTTTAGTTGTCAGAGAACACAATTTGCATATTTCACAGATGATGGAGTTTTTAATGAGGTAGAAGAGAGTAGATGACTTTTTATGGATTTTAATGTGGAAATAAAACAGACACACGTTATTGTTCCAAACAGACTGATTGGGATCTTTAAAGCTCACACAAAGTTCTTAATATTTTCCATTTGATCTCTTGGAGTTTAATGGAGTTTTTACAGCTTCAGTTATTTTATTCACACAGCTGAACATCACACAAACATGTATGAGGAATAAAAACTGTTGTACATCAAACAGTTGTGACTGCTGTTTCCTGGAGTCTTCGTCAGGTTTCAGTCCCCGTTTTCATTCACATAATCCGGTTCCTCTAAACTCCAACCTGATAATAAAAAAACAGAAGAACAAGTTATGTTTATCTTTTTCCTGTATTAAATTTTCCTTTAATTTATTTCATTTAAGCTGAATGTCAAACTAGTGGTCGCCAAAGCTTCACGTGAGGTCGCAAGGCCTTCTTGATTTTAAGGGTGTCAAAAAAACACTGAATTTGTCAATAAAGAAACCTATTAAATCTGTAAGATTGTTAACAATAAACAAAATACAGACAGAGAGAATAATCTGCTCAAAATGAATCAAAATCTCTGGTTTTACACAAACTTCCTGCAGTTAATGAGTTCACTGTTTGGGTTCATTGTTTATCTGCTGTTATTATTATTATTGAATATAATATGAAATATCCATAAAATATAGTCAGTTTACTCAATGATAGAGAAGGTTGGGAGTTGATTGGAGGTTTATTGAGATCAGCTGCTGCACAGGGACTCCTAATCAATGACTCTCAGCCAATCGGGTGTGATAACATATGTTTATGGCAGAAGCGAGGTGGGAACTGGCTGCACACTCGGGGCATTCTGGGAGCTGTTTCACCGAAGCAGAATTAAGAAATCCAGGATAAGTGAAAAAGTGAGGCTTGACCATCCTGGATCAACAGGTTTCATGAAGGCTAATCCAGACTGAGGCAGGTAGGTGGAGTCAGGGTTACATCATTTGGATAAATGCACGTTCACGGCTTCACCAGACCACGAGGTCGATCACGAGTTACTGAGGTTGAGATGTAGAAGACATATTAAACATACTTTATATAATGGAAGCTTATGTAAAAAAGGAAACACAGTCGCTGTAATAAATCGTCATTTTAACCCTTTAAGATCCTCAGTTATATTGTTCCCTTATTTAACAATTTATGACAAAAAACATTCACTAAAACTCAGTTTCTTTGTATTTTTATATCAAAATTCAATCATTGTGTCTTCCTGTAAAACAAAATGTGATTCTGTTTGTTGTTGTTGTTGTTGTCAACAGTAACTGTTTTATTATTTGTTGTTACTTCCTGTGAGTAGCTGATGGTTAAATGTGTCCTTTATATAAAGTTAAAACATCCGTCTGTCAGTGAGGTGTGATTCTAGTCCAGAAACCTCACTGGAATTGTTTTTTTTATAAATAAACAAATAAACAAAAACATTAAAAACCCTCGTGTGCTGTAGGGTTCAGTGCTACTGAGCACGGAGGTCACATCTTTCCTTGACGTTTTGAAGCTGTAACCTAATTTGCAGAAACGGCGAGCTGGTAGTCAGAGCTAACAGCTAACGAGCAGCTGCTGTCAGACTGTGTGTGTCTGCGCTGGAGATTTAGTCACTAGAAGCACATTCACGCTGTTTGTAAACGTTTCTGAGTGTGTGTGTGTGTGTGTGTCAGTGTGGGATCAAGGTAAAGATTGCAGTCCGGTGCTATTTCTTAAAACGTTCAATTCAATTTTATTTGTATAGCGCCAATTCATCTCAGGACACTTTACTCCTTATAACATTTACAGAGACCCAACAGGTACCACCATGAGCAAGACCTTGGAGGACAGGGCAAGGAAAAACTGCCTTTTAACCAAGGCAGAAACCTAGACAGACCCTTGCGCTCTAGGTGGGTGGTCTCTGCCTCGACCAGTTGGGGCGAGAGAGCTGTTCAGGCGGATTTAAAACATTAGAGGATGAGTTGAGACATTTTTTTTTCATATATTTAATGTTAATTTTAAAAGCAGCGTTGATGTTTAATCTCAGTACAGTCGTATAATTCAGTTTAAAGCTCAAAACCCGTTTTAAGGAGGAGGATCTCGTTAAAGAGGCATTTTTTTATATATAAATATTGTTTGGTATTATGCGGTGGAGAATAACTGTGGCTGGTCTGTGGAATCAGTACTGACACAGTTCGGTTGAGGGTTGGGAACAGTCGTGGTTAAAGGAAACCAACGCAGGTCTGCGGTTTCCCACGAACAGTAACGAACCCTAAAATTAAATTATTCTAAAGTTTATCCTGATCAAATGTGCTCCAGAAGTTTTAAATAAAGTCTAAGTACAGTAAGTAAAGTATATATGAGGACTGATACCCCAGTCCTCTTCTGTCTCTATAAAGAAGTTATTTTCTTGGATTTTCTGTATTAATCAATTCATATTTTTATTTTAATGCCAATCACAATCTCCCAGAGTTACAAGTAAAATCCTTGTTTTTATATAAATAGAAAGATTCAGTTGTATGATGATATAAAACAGAGAAAAGCAGAAAATATTTTTACCATAAAGATGATTATTAATTAATTATCAAATTAGTTTCTGATTGATTTCCTGAACTGTCTGTTAATATCTTAAAGTCGTGATCAATAATCGATGCTCTTTACTCACGTTTGTCTTCCTCGTGCACAACTTGCTCCAGATAGTCAGCGTTCTCGTAGTCGTCCTCGTCTGTTCGGTGAAACAGTTTGATTGGATCAATATCATCGTATCATTGATCCTGTAAGCTTTTATCTCTGATTGGAACTGATCGGAACTGATTGATCGTACCTTCTTTTACTGGCAGCAGTGTGACGTTTGCATAGACATCCAGAGCCGGAGGAACATCTGTACATAAGGACAGAGACTCAAAGTCTTTAAATTAACTTTATTATTTATTAAATTATTATTTATTATTAAGTATTTGTTAAATTTCTCACCAGGTTTTTTTTCTGTCTGTTCATTTTCATACACTGAGATTGCGATTGGAGCTCTGTGGAAAAACACAAATATGACATTTTTTAACCTTTTTGTTCTGCGTGTAAATTAAAATTTACATTTAAATAATTTATTAAACAAATCCAGAACAATCTGATCATTAAAATATAAGTTAGTTTTATGATCTGCTGCCTCTTCAGTTAAGGTTTAAGCTAAGTTTAGGTACAAAATTAACCTGTTTGTGCCTTGAAGTTTTCTCTGGGTCTAGACACAGATCTGAAGAAGACATTATATTCAGTCTTTGGACACATTCGACTACTGTTTCTTTGCAGAAATAGGTAGAAAATTCCCTCAAATATGCAGAATTTGTCCCGACTAACAATAAATATGTGTAACTTTTATATGGAATATAAATTTTGGAGCCCGTCGCATGTGTCAACTGAAAATAGTAAAAATCCTTAAATATGTACGACTAATTCAAAGCTTTTTCTACCATTTTAGTAAAAAAAACAGTATAATCCGTCTATATAATCTGTCCAAAGACTGAATCTAGTGTATCTGATATCTGTGAACTCATAAGAAGTTAAATGTCAAAGATTTACACACATACATAATGTTTAAACTAATATTTCACATCATCAATCAGACTGAATTCTGGTGATTTTTAAAAGGAAATGTAAACTAATTGTTATTATATATCTTATATATTATATATATATTGTGTGTGAATTGAATGACGAGAGATGAAATACTCACACATATGTATGTTCTGCACTTGCTGTTGGAACTGTTTATATCAAAGACGCAGCGATAACAGTTAAACAATGAGAAATATAAGCGAATACAAATTAAAAAATATGAATTCTGTGTATTTTATTGAGTCAGTAAATTTACCTTCTGGGATGTTTACATAGTCTTGTTCATCATCAAAGTCACCTGGAATATAAAGTGATTCAACTAAAACCTCTGATGAATTTATGTTAAAAATAAAAACAACTATTGTTCAAATATTTGACATCAGAATAAATTTACATTCTTTATATTAAATTCAAAACATGATGAGTTTACCTGGTGGAGATTCTTCACCAGTTTCACTGAGGAGAAAACAAACACCATAAAGTTAATTAATTAACAGTTTGTGTTTCATTTGTTTAATTCGTACATAGACAGGAAACAGCTGGGCGGAGGGATACGCTGTGAAGAAATAGTTCCAGTTTATAAACTCCACTAAAACCAGAGATTGTAGTTTTTATGTTTCTGTTTATGTACAAATTAAATAAAGCAGATAAAATGTGTTGATTAGTGATATTTTGAAGTGTTGGTCAGAGACGTCAGTGTTGTCTATATAATGACGTCATGATAGATAGATAGATAGATAGATAGATAGATAGATAGATAGATAGATAATTTATAGCCTATTTAATAGTTATTAACATTTCACACAATTTTTATAACTTTTTACTGGATAAAAAACAAAGTAAAACCTCGTTTCCTGCCATAAATACCAGTTCACACATGTAAACCCCAGTTTAATATGAATGTTCACAAAGCCAGAGACACATAGAAGCTAATTTTAAGTAAGGAAAAAAAACTGTTCTGTTGGATAATGTGCTGTATTGATTATATATTAGTATGACATCAGGAATATACTGTGTGTTTGTGTGTGTGTGTGTGTGTGTGTGTGTGTTTAGCTCAAAAACTGTTCTAGCTCACACAGAGTTGATATTCGTCTCTTTGTGAAAAAGACGAACCCAATTGTTCCTTCAAACGCTGTAAACTACAGATTGATCAGATGTGATCAGATTGATCAGATGTGATGTGTGGAGGGATATACATACATTGTCGTTGAAGGAATCTGATTGGCTCTGGTGACTGAAAAATAAAAAGTGTCAAAGTGAGTTAAAGATGCTAATTAATTAGTTTATTATCTGAGGTTAAAGGTGAACAACAGCTGATGTTTATCTACCTGGTTTTGATTGTGTCACAGCGAACATACTCCCCCCGCGCTGGCTGTGCACAGATAACGTTAAAAAAAGTTATTTTAAAGTAAATAAAGAAATATGTTTTATTATTAAAGATTCACTTTAAACTTTAATGACGTCACCGAGTTCCTCGATTATCTGACGGAGAATAAAGAACAAACACTCACAACGTCTGCGGGTTGTATATCTGATGTTCCTCATGAATGACCTCTGCAAGAAATAAAGAGAAATTAAACTCTGAACTGTGTGTGTGAGTGTGAGTGTGTGTGTGTGTGAGTGTGAGTGTGTGTGTGAGTGTG